TTATATGCACGTTTTAGTGGGGTTTATACATTTTTACAATTATATCGAATGAATCCTTAAAATAAAATCAATAACGATCTTGACATGGGTTCCCCTCCGGAAAATATCTCTATAGTGAAATATGGTAGGCCTATTGAAAAGCAAAACATGCAAGACTCCTGACTGAAAAAGAAGAAACACATACATGAAACAAATATAAACACCAATTATACAATACATAGTAAAAAATGTCATTTTCAAAGAAAATCAATAAACATCTACAATACACGAATATAATTTGACATGGCACTTAATGCATCTTAGAAGTGACAGTGACTCACTTCAGAAATGACATTAATATCATTAATTCTAACCTTGCTTACAACTAATAAACTAATGGAGACGTTGGCGTGACATCAGATCATACTCAACCTCGTTTCTACTCTAAGATTTTCAGCATACTATTTTCCTCTTGCGACACCACATCATATTCTCACCCGCATCACTCTGTCCCGTTGGACATTCGCCCTTAAGTGATAGCCTTGGGCCGAGCAGAAAGTGTACAATAGTGTCTATCATTCCTTCCTGCTGTTTACTGATTCTATCGCAACCCAATGACTGCGCCACTGTAGTTTTTCCGTTCAACCCAGTTTTCTCGGTAGGCCTAAACGTTGACTCCTGACGCTTTTCGGCTCTGGAGATCAGATGGTTCAACGGATTATTCCACCTGCCGCCTTTGCTGGTTACTCCTCAGGGGCGAGCGGTCTTAACTGGCTTTGTTGTTGTTGACGTCAATGTCTGTGGTTGCTTGCACACCTGTAGCGCTTTTATCACTGCTGCCAACACTTCTTGACCATGTTATGCCATGCCCAGTGACAACTGTATAACCTATTTATCGATACTTATTTTACACCACGATGAAACATTTTATGACTACTGTAAAGTTTTCTCACACTAACAGTGGAGCAACATCCATTCCCCAAACCGCTGCTACCAATGTCATATGAGAATTATTCATTCACAAAATATAGGTATATTTCAACATCATTTTAAAAAATTTCCTTTGTCATTTGTGTTGAGTGGATATTGACCAAGATTATACTAGTAAAATTTAGTAAAGATTGAGCAAATAAATTTATATTTAGTATATGAAAATTCTCATACAACATAATATGTGTGCATGTGTGTGGTAACATACATACATACATAATATATATATATAATTATATATATATATATATGTATATATATATATATATATATATATATATATATATTATATACATATATGTATATATTATATAATATATATATATATATATATAATATATATATATATATATATTATATATATATATATAATATTTGTATACTATATATTATATATAATATATAATATATATATATATATATATATAAATATATATATATATATATATAATATATATATAATATATATATATATTATATATTATAATATATATATTTAATATATATTATATATATATATTAATACATAATTATACACATAATATATGTATATAATAATATACTATATATATATATATATATATAATATAATATATAATATATATTGCATTTGTGTATAATATAACACATACACAAACACAGCACACAGAACATGAACACAGTACCACACACAACACCACACATTATATACCTACATATATATACTGTATATACGTATAACATACATACATACATATATATCTAATGTATTACATATATACATATATGTATACAATTATTATATATATATATGATATATATGTATATTATATAATTGAGTATATGTATAATATCTATATACATATCATATATTCTACCTATACATATATAGACATAGATATAGATTATATATATATATAATTATATTTATTAATATATATATATATTTATTATATATTTAAATATATATACTTACATTATACAAAATACAAAGACCATGCACACATACGACACAACACCTATTTTGTTCATATATATATATTATAATATATTAAATATATATATATATATATATATATATATATAATATATATATATAATATAATATATATATATATAATTTATATAATATATATATATATATTATAGTATATATATAATCATATATATTATATAATTTATATTATATATATAATATAAATAGTTATATATATATATATATTATATATATATATATTTAATATATTATATATATATATATACTATATATATATATATATATATATATATATATATATATATATATATATATATATAGCATAATACAATATTACATAATAATATTTATATATATATATATGTCTGTATATTTATGTATGTATACATAGTATAATCTATATAATAACATATATATTATAAATATAATATATATATTATATAGTATATATATATACGTGTGTGTGTGGGGGGGGGGTAGTGTGCATTATAGGTTGAGAACCTCACAAGTTTGTCGCAAAAGAAAAGGCGTTTTCAGCGAGCCGACAGGAGCGCGCGTGCAGAGCATCTCTCAGATATAATGGTGATAAAAGAGAAACAGACAGCATGATAAGAATAAAAGAAGAATAGTTTGATAGAATTCCTTCCATACACAGCGATCAGTCACTCGAGTCTAGAAAACTCTTTCATTTATCTCGCTTCTGAAACTCTCACCTCACGCTTGAATATATATAAATATATAATATATATATATTATATATATATTATATTATATATATGTGAGTGTGTGTGTGTGTGTAGTGTGTTGCGTGTGTGTTGTGTGTTGTGGGTTGTGTGTGTGTGTGTGTATGTGTGTGGCTGTGTTTGTGTATGTGTGTGTGTGTGTGTGTGTGTGTAACGTGTTGTGTTGTGTGTGTGTGTGTGTGATACGTTTGTTCTTTTGTGTTTTGTGCAGTGTGCGTGTGGTGGTCGTCTGTGTGTGCTCGTGTGTGCACGCGCGATCATGTATAAACACATACATTTACAGATAGATTTAGCAATTTGCACACTTTACCATATTACACACAGATCCAACAATACGAATTTTCCCTCTCTCCATCGGCGGCGCTCGACCTAGCATGGCTTGATCCTGCGACCTTCACACCTCACGTGGTTCCAGAGCAGTCTGTCCGGGAAAGGAGACCAGGCCGCCCCAGTCGTTGCACTCTTAAACGCCCAGAGTGAGTTTAGTGATCTTGTGTTAAATTCCAGTCATCTGCAACGCTACCACACGCCTAACACGGGTCGGGCTTTCCAGATCGGGCTGGTGCGTGTTGAGCCTTCTTGGGTTGGCTTCCTCTTCGCTCGTCAGTTGCTTATGTGTTTATTTGGAAGATCTAACCTTCATGATGAATACCTTTCATGCTACTCTTTCTCTCTCTCTCTTCTTTCCCTTCTCTCTCTCTCCCTTTCTTCCTATCCTTCTATCTGTCTGACTGTCTGATTTATCTACCTGCTTATCTCTCTATCTCTTGTTATTATAAATGAGAAAAAAGAAAGAAAAAAATATAAAAGTAATGATTATAGCATGGATGTTCCACATGATAGAATAATGATTATGGCAATTATTAAATCAATAATGATGATATGATGATTTTAGCTCAGGTCTGGTTCACCCCGCGAAGGCTGCTTTACGGTCGATATATCAACCACCATTTTATTAGACTGAGAGTGTGCAGTTTTTTAGTGATTGTTTTATTCTCATCCGTTGTTTCTTTTTCTACTACTTCACCTTTCGTTTTTTTCTTTGGACGAGTTTTCTCGTTAGTGCAATCCATACATAATGTGTATTCTTCATTCAAACTGAACTCTAACTTTAAATTCATTGATAGGAAGATAATGAACTGAGAAAACGCCCGATACATAAGTTGTTAATGCAGAACACGAGGCCCACTAGAATTCAAATCCATGTCTCTTCTGTTGCATATCTGTTGTGGTCTCGATCGACTTTGAGATTTATTACGTTTATTGCCAGAGCATCTAAAAAGGATACTGTAAATCTTCTGGAGGCATTCTTCGGGTCTTATCTTCTAGGGATGAGTGGAAATGTTGATCGAAAAGGAATTGTTACTCTCTTTAGCTAACACATGTTTCTCATTTTCCACAAGGAGGTCAGTGAACCTGTTGGACTCCTTCTTTAGGGTTGCTTGCTTGGACTAGACCCTGACCACGAGAGAAAGATCTTTCCTTTATTGCTGAAATACTCTTCATGTCGCCAGAAGAATCATGAGTCTCGAATAAAGGTCAGGGAGCCACAACTGGACCATGAGTATATAATGTTGCCAACGGTGTCTTCGCTTAACACCAGTCTCCTGTCTCGCTTCTACGTCAGACTTGGCTTCTCTTCAAAATGAAATCGTTCATATTTTCAGGTAAGTCTTCTTTCCATTGTTTTGAATATGCATGTGTGTAGGGAGGGGAGGGGTATTTATGTGCGTTATGATATACAAAAAAAAAAAAAAAAAAAAAAAATAAGAAAAAAAAGCTTGCATGTAGATGTAAATAAAAAGACTTAATCAATTTAAATTCAACAGCTATCATCGGCATCGTTCTGGCGACGGTCGCAACGGATTCAATGGAAACGGCAACAGGTATGCGCCCCCAAGCAACACCTATGGCACGCCCAACGGCGGCTACGGAGTAGACCCTGAGATCGCCGCTTTGGCCGAGAACATTCCAGGGGGCGCGTCCCGGCGAGGACTACCCCATCTTGGCTTCCGTGCCCGACACCGGATTCTCCTGCCAGGCGGTGCAAGGTTATTACGCCGACACTGCAGCTGAAGCCGGCTGCCAGGTGTTCCATATCTGCCAGGACCGCGCCCTCAGGCGCCAACAGGACTCCTTCCTGTGCCCCAACGGTACCATCTTCAACCAGCAGTACCTGGTATGTGACTGGTGGTTCAACGTGGACTGTTCTCAAGCTGAGAGCTTCTACTCCGTCAACGAGCTC